CTTTTCCCCCCCCCCCCCTTGTTTTTCTTGCAGCCAATTTGAATGAAACTGCTCTTTTCTCTGCTTTCCGTAGCTATCTTATCGGGTGTGACAATGAACTCGCAAGACTTCACACTCGTAACCCTGAAGCATGTGACAAGGTTGGCGGAGTGATCGTAATGCACATAGAAGATCTCCGGAAATTCGGCATGTACTGGTTGCTTAAAACTCAGGAGGTTCGTGCTGACAAAGAGCACTACGGAAAGGACATTACCGGTGATATATACGAGTCTGGTTGGATAAGCGAGATGTACGGTTACTCATTCGGTGCTGCTGAGGTAGCTTATTGAATGCTCCTCCGCATGTTTCTTAAATTCCATCATACCCTTCCTTATCAGCTTCTTCCTTTCGATGTTGCAGCTAAATTTGCGCCATATCATAAACAAAGACATCTTAATATACCCGGGTTACGTTCCCGAGCCTGGTGTCGACTATCGAGTGTTCCACTATGGTCTAGAGTTCAAAGTGGGAAACTGGAGCTTCGACAAGGCGAAATGGAGGAACACGGATGTGGTCAACGAATGCTGGGGCAAGTTTCCCGATCCGCCTGATCCTTCAACAGTCAACCAACCGAACGAGGATCTACGGAAGCGGGACCTACTCAGCATAGAATGCGGGCAGAAGCTGAATGAAGCTTTGCTTCTGCATCACAAGAGAAGGAATTGCCCAGAACCAGGGAAAGAAGTTTCGGGTTCCAGGAAAGTGGAGAACTTTCAGGTGGATGGGAATAGAGACTCGGAGGAGGAGGGGCTTTTCGGCACATTGAAGTTGTGGGTGATAGCGTTGTGGGTGATATCCGGAGCGGGTTTCTTGGTGGTGATGGTGTTGGTGTTCTCCGCTCGTAAGGGAAGAGGAGCCCGTGGCAAAGGCTACCGAACGAAGAGGCGCTCCTCCTACTCGGGTTTCTTAGACACGAACGAGCGAGATAGGTATGTCCGTACCACGGAGGCGTTGTGAATGTTCATTTATCTTTTTAATTCAACGATTGGTTCTGTCGAGGAGGCTTTTGGCTTTTGAGTTCTGTAGAGAGAGAGTCTGATCATTGTAACAAAATAGATTCAAATAGGAAAGGTGAGAAGTTCTTGGATCCTTCTCCCCCCTGTTCAATGTGCATTTTGTACTCTTTCTAATGAACTCTGGGTTTTTTCTCTCCTTGCATTGTGCGGTATTTCCGCTCTACGTGTGAAAATAGCAAGTAAACCTCGAATATGATTTAGTCATGTTTCTCCTCATTTGGCTGTGATTTTACTTGAAAACATATAATAATAATAATAAATGACTTGTTAATTTGTTATCATAAGATATCTGGGTGCCAATAGCAAATACATAATTTATCTGATAAGATCGTTTGAAACAACAGTTTCTCTTTTGTAATTGTCTGAAAAGAAGTGAAAATATATACATTTCACAATCTGTAAGCCACTGTAATTTAAACTAAAAACAAGCCATTTTCTCTCTCCTGCGGTTTTACTCCATAAAGTGGTTAGCTTTCTCTTTAAACGGAGAAATAGAGGGGCCCAGGAAATTGCATTTTGAATTCAAATTTTGAATACTAAAAAGGCCGGACAACGGACAAAACCCACCTTCTCCTTCGAGCACATATAACCTGAAACCGGATCTCTGTCTGAAAACAGTTCAGATCTCGCTCCAAATTCATGGGGGAATCTGCTTGTCTCATGCAGCCATTCTCATATGCAGCTCCAGAGGTCAGCTCATGTTTCTTAAGCACATGGGTTTTCGTCTGCATGTTCTTTTTCTTGCTTTTCCTAATTAATCTCTCCAATATCTTTGTCCTGTTTATCAGCCAATTGTGAAATTTTCCACTTTTAGAGGATCTTCTGTTTCCCCAAGTGAGTTTAGAAATGTTACCCATCTAAAACGGAGTTGAAATCAGCTTCTGGAACTAACCTTTTTCTTTCCCTGAGACTTTCTCGGCATCCAAACAGAAACTATTTGCTAGTAATGGAAGCAATGAAGGGAACACACAAGGCTCTGAATCTCACAGTCCCTCTCTGTTTCTGTTTTTTTTTTTGTTACGAAGGTCAATTCACTAAATGAGTCCGGACAATCCATCTCCTTTGGGAGATTCATGTCGGAGAAACTCGAGTGGGAGAAGTGGTCAACTTTCTCTGCCCAGAATCGGTACGTAGCGGAGGCAGAGAGATACTCCCGTCCCGGGTCTGTGGCTCAGAAGAAAGCTTTCTTCGAAGCTCACTACAAGAAACTTGCCGCTGCGAGAAAAGCTGCGGCAGAGGCTGCATTGCTTGAACAAGAAAACAATCCAGAACCCGAACCGGAGAGTCTCTCAACTCGAGAAGATGTCAAGGAACAAATCAAAGATGGGGTCGGGTCAAAATCGAATCTTGAGATGGGTGGACGGGACAAAAGTGAAGCAGAACAGGTGACGGGAGTTGTTGATGAACAGGCTGATGAGAAGGAGAATTGTGTAAAGGTGGAATCGGAGATCAATGGTGTGAACAAGAGCGATAAGGATTCTGCTGCTGAGAAGCAGATGGAAAAGCCAATACTAAAGGTAGTAAATCATGATCGAACTCTTCTCTTGTTGTATTATGTTGCTAATCCTTTAGCTCGAATGGGTGGCGCTAGGAGCAGAGTTCAAAGGCAAGTGAAGAAAACTCAAGATTAATGAACAAAAACAAATCGAGAGTTGTGAAGATGAACTCAGAAAAGACTCCAAAGTCAAGCAGCAGAAAGGCATACACTTTCACGCCTGTGAAAGAATTCAACAGATTAGCTTCCATTGTAAGGAAGATGGACGGTTCAAGAGCCTCTAAACTCTGCAAAGACTTCAAAACTCCCCTACGTACACCAAACGTGGTTGCCCTCCTTCTTTCATAGTGTTTCAAATCCCCGTAATCTACTTTTGATCGTCTCCTTCACGCTGAGCGTTTACAGCCTTTTCGATGATTGCAGGCTTCTACAAGCTTAAAGAACAACACGATCTCTACACCTTTAACAGATAACAGGAGGTTAAAAAAACCAAAAACTGGTCATTGTTTCTTACGTTTTCGGGGAATTAATATGTGTTATAACACAAAAATGCAGAGTGGAAATAGCACCTGATTCTTCAGCAAAGGCCAACAAGACAGTCCGGGCAAGATGGAACTTCCTCCCTACAGAGTAAGAGCTAATAATCTCTTAATTATCTATGACGGTCACTGATGCGTAATCGTAGTGTGTCTAAGCGAATGGAAGTTGTTTTTGGAAGGAGAAGCAAATTATACTCGCCGAGCTGTTTTACTCCTTTTAGTCTGAGAACAGAGGAGAGAGCAGCTACAAGGAAAAAGGTCTGACTACTCTTGAAGCACACGGAGATCTGTAGCTCTCTGTGTCTTTGTCTCACATTTTTCTGTTTTTCAGAAGCTCGAGGAGAAGTTCAAAACCACTGAGGCACAGAAGCAGCAAGAAGAAAAAGCTGCTGCCACGGTTAAACCTCTCTTTGCCTTTGAAATTTTTTACATGTATTCCAAGTTCAGGGAATTCGGTCATTTTTATTGCAGACAGAACATCATAAACTTTCTTTATACTGTGGCGTAGCAGGATAGCGTAGAGAAAGAGAAGAGTAAACCACGGCGAACGCTATGCTTCAAGGCGAGACCTCTTCCCAATTTCTACAAGCAAAGACCGAAACCAACTGACCAGACTAAGAAGGTAAACAACAACTCACACTGTCCTTTAAGTATCAAGAAATGCTTGATTTGTTTGATTCTTGGAGCTGTTCTCGTAGGCTCTGTTGCAGCATCAGGAGCCACTTCCTGTGGAGACGAAGCTTAGGGAGAGGATCACCAGAAGATTTCTCGAATGACCAGTTCTGATTCTGTTTCATGTATGTCGTTATGAATGCAAAAGCAGAGCATATAAGAATTCTTTGCACGCCGGTCTTGCTGAAGTGAACGAGAAGAGGATGATGTTGTATATAATGGTGACAACTCGTAATCTTGGCCCTCGGCTGATTCAGTCAATGACACGATACGTGGCATTAATATTTACACATACGTATTATACACACAAATATAATATAAAACACTTGGATGCCAATCTAAATGTTATGTGAAAAAGACTGTGGCTTTCTATTCATTAAGCAGTAATGCAGAATGTACAGAGAGAAGAGAGTGTGTATCACTCAGTTCTATACTCTTTTGATGGGAAGAGGACGGGGTCCCAACAGATTCACGTCAATGGAGGCTCCGTAACGTTGAGCAGATGTGACAACCACATCATAGGCCTTGGCAGAGAGGACAAGTCCCTCCTTTTGAGCCCTCATGTGTAATTCGTAAGCCAACCTCGGTTTCCCATCATTTGCCAGAGCCTCTATAAGCATTTCGTATGTTATTTCATTCGGTGATACATTCTGAAGTTTCATACGGTGAAACCACTCGTACCCTATGCTGCTCGATCCGTTCCTTGCACAAGCGCTTATGATGGCATTATATGTCACCACAGTCGGCTCTATCCCCTTTGAATCCATTTCCTTCAGAAGTGCATCCACAAGGTTGAACTTCTTCTGTCCTGTCAGAATCGAAGCCATTGTTGTGTAAGCGTATAGGTTTGGCTCGACGCCTACCCTAAGCATATGGTTCCAAACCCGAAAGGCCTCATCGTATAACTTCCCTTTCTCAAGGGCACTGAGGAGAGCACCGTATGATATAATTGTGGGCTTTTCACCATTTTCAACCATTCTTCTGAAGATCTGAATAGCAGCAGCAGTCTCAGAGGCCTTTGAACATGCCACAAGCACTGCGTTCCAGTGTCTGCTCCCTGGTTTCAGCCCCTTGTCTTCCATTTTGTTGAGTAGCCTTACTCCCCATCTCCAGATTCCTCTCCGGCTAGCCGCTGTCAGTAAAACATTGAAATGTGATACGATTAACTCATACGACATGTTGTTAGGTTCAGGGCCTCTGTCAAGAAGTTCCTCGTAGATCTCCAAAGCCGCCCACCATTTCTTGGCCTTACCCATCAGCCAAATCAAGTGGTTACAGACCGATAAGCTTATCTCTGGAAACCTTTCTCTGATTCGTTTATACAATTCTTTACCAACAATGTAGTGCTCTTCACGTGTGCATGCCCAGATAAGCCGCTCGTGCTCTTCCCTGCTTGGTTTAAGCCCCGCATTGTCCATCTCTGTCATAAGCTTCAACACTTTGGTTATCAAGTTTTCATTTTTCACCAACCAACGCCTCATCACTTGGTAGCAGATTCTACCGATGAAGTTTTCGAGCTTCACAAACTCATATTCCCAATCATCATCAGTGCCTTTTCCCACTTCACCCTTCAAGTACTTTTCTCTCAGTTCAGTGAAGAACTTGAGAGCTCCCATACCATCTTCCATTCTTCTGTAAACCAATAAAGCTGTGGAATACGTTACCGGGGTAGGCTCAAAACCCTTTTCCAGTACTAAATCCAGAATGCCAAGAGCCTTTTCAAATTTCTCTTCCTCCGTGTAGATGAGCATCAAAGTGTTGTAGGTGACAACGTTTGGAAAAATCCCTTCTTGCTCCATATCTCTCAATATCTTCTCTGTTTTACCAAACTGCTCGGACTGTTTCACTGCACCCAGAAGACTATTGTATATGAAAAGGTTTGGACCAAAGGCGCCACATGATTCAGTCTTCTTTCTCTTAAGCCAAACTACAAGCGCCATAGCAGAATGGAGATTCTTGTCCTTGCCAAAACCTCTTATCATAGCACAATAAACTTGTAGAGGCAACTCGCCCTTCTCCTTCAGGACAACTTCCACATCATCCGCTGTCTTAGCAGATCGTAAACTATATGCCAATTCTCTAACATCAACTCTCGAATTTTCCCCACCCACCTCATCGCTATCTTCTCCTCCACTTAGTACAGCATGTTGTTGATCATAGTCTAATACATTAACAGAACTTAATTCCCCTCTAGAACCTTCTCGCTGCTCTGTGGCCCATCCAACCTCAACCGAAGAACCTAACGAACGTCTCCTTGGCTCACAGACAAACAAAAACTTCGACCAAGATTTTATTCTCAAGGGTTCACATTTACAGTTACCTGAAACGAGGAGCAGCGCAGAGTTCTTGCCAAAGTAAGCCTGTTGAACACAACAAGTTCTCCTCCTACTCTTCGTCTTAAACCTAACACAACAACAACAATCCAATCTCCGGCCGACCGGCAGACCAAAATTTGATGGCCAAATGCTTAAAGTTTGCATCTTTTCAGACACAGTTCACCGGAAAGCACAAAAAACCAGATGCCAATTGGCGAAAGCTTGCATATTCCCACACAATTCACCGAACAAAACAGCAACTCAGGAACCGAATTCTTTGAGGTCTCGTCTTTTTCGACAAGGTACATCAGTAAACACGACAAACCAGAAGCCAAATGCTAAAGGCTTGGATCCGTTTTGACAAGTAACGTAACTAAACACGATAACCCGAAAGCCAAATGCTAAAAGCTAGCACGTTTGAGGGGTAAACGCAACAACCCAGAAACAAAAATCCGAGGTAAAGATCAAACACGACCTATCATGATACTCGAAGGAAGCGACAGTGAAGAGAATTCGAGTTTGAATCGCAATTGGAGCTCAAAGTAAATATTTTTCAGGAGTCTGTCTGAAACAGAACAGAGATGCCTCCCCGCGTACCTCCATGGTTTTAGCTTTGGTGGAGAGAGCTGCTTTGGTACATTCTGTCTCCGATGTTGTTGTTGGTGGTGGTGCGCTCGTGTCCATCCATTTTCTGATGCGAGGGGGGAAATCCTCGAAACGACGTCGCAGCAGTCAACTCGCTTTCATTCCGGAAATGGGCCGACTCTATTGAGTTTTATTATATATATGGACGGACCTATGTTACCCAATTAACTAAAATTGATAGTGTGAATTTTGAATTTTAGAAGAAAAAAAAGAAGGAAGATGAACACGACATAGATGTATTGAAGACCATACCCTAGGAGGATAACATTCATGCATGGTACATAAAAAAAAAAAAAGCATATACGGTAATGTTCCATTCACGTAACATGTAGTAGGACCCATGCCCACACCTACACTTCATATAGATGTCCGTATCAAATATTTATTTATTTTTTCAAAGATGGATCAATGTGGATTCACCATATCTCAGGTACTTCGTCTTCTAGCTACTACAACATGTGCGTATGTCATATCCTCTTGTCTTTCAATCACACATGTTCATGTTCGTGCATATAATTTGATTCCCTTCGTTCAAAAGTTCGGCTAGATACCAACAATTGTGATTAATTATCCGCGTAGCTAAGTATGATTAAATAACTTATCAAGATAGCTTTAATTTATATAAGGTCGGTCCGGCGCCCAAATTATTTTGACAAAATAATTAATAATTGATGGGCATACCATATTATATTTAACTCTTTTTTTTTTTTTAATGTGTTGGGGTTGGTGCGTCAATCAAGGTCAATAAAAATTTGTTAATTAGCAGCGGAGGACTTTGTTACATTAATCTTCAACCAAATTTTGCATAATGATCGGATTTGCTCTCCTTTTAAAATTGTGGCTTAAAAAAAAAAAGACAAAACGAAGGTTGGTTTGGTTATTAGATCCTCAATTTATATGATTGAGATGGAAGTAAAATAATGTGGAGACAGAGAGTATGAAGTTGCACATGCAAGTATTTTATGTGCCTCTCCTCTTGTCTATTAATTATATAAAGAACTTAATATTAGCGGCATGGTATTTTGTGTATCCAATGCTCAGACAATCTTAGGAGGGAGAGAGAGATGATGAAGTTGAAGCCGAAAAGGTTTGGGATTAGATTTGGGCTCGGGAAAAGCCGAAGCAGAAGCAATAACAGCGACGGACGGAAAGCACAACAGAAGGGATTCGGTGGCAACAGCAACATCAGCGAGACAAAATGGGAGATAAGGCCAGGTGGAATGCTTGTCCAGAGGAGACAAGAGAGTGCTGGCGAAGACTTGATCTCCATCAGAGTCTCTACATTTGCTCGCTCTCATCTTCTCTCCGTCGACGCCACCTCCACTTTTGGTACAATACACCCCCCATATACGTACAGCATACTAATCCTAACGAAGAACTTATATGTGCATATAAATATACGCAGGAGAGCTGAAGATGGTGTTGTCGCCGTTGACGGGATTGGAGCCAAAGGAGCAGAGGCTACTGTTCAGAGGAAGGGAGAGAGAGGAGTGCGAGCATCTGCACATGGTTGGCGTTGGTGACCGAGACAAAGTCTTCTTGTTACAACCTCCTCCCCTCGTCCCTCTCGCACCGACTCCCGTTCTTTCTTAAATTCCATCTACTTGGTTAGTTTTATATATATCTTACTCAGCACAAACCTTTTTTATTTTAAAATGTGCTCATTTCATTTTTTCACTTTGTACATCAATTACAATCTATACGTATATGTATCACATAAATATGTCGTGATTGTTATTCTGTTTCCAAGAAAATTTCGACCACCGAGAGAGAACTCCAACAGACGAAGGGTTTTTTTTTTTTTTTTTTTTTTTTTTTATAAAACAGCCCGTCCATAATAAAAACGCACACCAAACATTCCAACACTCCTTCCACTAAAATATAAGGACCCCATAAGATGCAAATAATTCGATTTTAGCCCCGCTCACTTGCCCTCGATCTCAATGACCCTCCTCTCAGGCCTCTTGCCCTCCTCCTTGGGGATGGTGACGACAAGAACACCGTCCTCCACGCTCGCCTTCACTTCCTCCGTCTTGACATTCTCCGGCAGCCTGAACCTCCTCCGGAATTCTCCCTTGCAACGCTCCACCCTACGCCACGTGCCACGTTCCCTGTCGCCGTCGGCCTTGCGTTGGCCGCTGATCTGAAGAACTCTGCCGTCGTCAACGACTTCGACTTTGACGTCGTCCTTCTTGAGTCCCGGCAAATCAGAGATGAACACGTGGCAGTCCTGAGTCTCTTTTCGGAGTGCTCAGAACCGGGCATCTGTTCACCAGAGACAGGAAAGGGTCGTATGTCTCGTCGCCGAAGAATCTCGAGATGAGAGACATCTTGATATTTCTGTACGGAAAAACAGAGGAGATTGATGTTCGTCGCTTGGGAGGGTGAATCTATATATGCGTGTATATACATATAAATGATAGGTAGATCTTGAAGTTTCTCCTTTGATCAGGAAGTGTGGAGATGTTCTACGATGTTCTTGTCCCAATCCTTTTTCACGTACGTTCGAGATCGCTGGTTAGACATTTTTTTTTTTAAGAAAAGGACCAAAAGGGTTAGCTTCTGACTGGTTGAGAAGGTTTGGTGAAATCTGTGTAAAGCCGAATTGCATGTATTTGGGAACTCTATAGTTTCATATAAACCCCCAAATATACCTCTTATCCAATTTACCAAACGAAGGTGCAATTTATATGTACGTCTCATTTTCATTGCACTTGCACTTTTTGGGTTAAGGTTTTGCTCGCACGCACGTGTGCGCTATTATTTATGAGAAATCGGATTTTAAACTAATTAGGGACCTAAGCCAGAATCGTACCACTCCACTAGATAACACAAATGTTTTATAATATTTATTGAAGAAACAATATATATAACACTGAATTAAACCATTAAATCCTCGATATGATGAAGGTATATCGGTAGAATTGAATACGGCCTCGTGTCGAATCACTGAAAAACTTGTACAAATAAAAAGCATCACCCTGATGTCTTAGAACGAGAAGAAGAAGAAGATGCCAGAGGCGGCAACGGTGCTGAAGATGGATAGCTTGGCCGCGGAGGCGGAGCTCTTCTTGGGTTCGGGAGCGGGAGCGGGTGAGGCCTCGGCGGGTCCATCGGCGACGTCGGATTCGGGAGTGGGGGCTGGCGGGGAGGAAGCGGTGGGGCCTTCGCTCTCGTCGCTGGGGGAGAGGGCGTAGTCGTCGTCGTTGGCGGGGGCGGGGGAAGAGGCAAGCGGGGACGGGGTCGATGCCTTGGGTGCGCTGGCGGAGGGCTTTGGAGCAGCGGCTGGAGCCTTCGTGGGTGCGGCGGTCGGAGACGGAGACTTCTTAGGGGAAGCGGCCGGTGCCTCCGCGGCGAAGGCGGCTGCCACCGCCAAGAACATGAACGCAACAGCGACAAACAGGCGTGCCATTTTATTTTATTTTTCTGTTAGTAGTATAGAATATAGATGAGATGCCCCAAAGCTGAAGCAGTATTTTCTATATCGAGGAGGAGTCGAAATACTGCAAAAGCTTTGAATGGAGGAAAAGGAGAGGAAGGGGGGAGAGGTATTTATATGGGTTTTCAAGTTAAAGAGTTTGAGAAAATGTAGGGAGTATCAACGGACATGAGCCAAAACTGGAGATTTCGTTGCCTTGTTTTTTTCAAAAATAGAATTACTAATATTGCATTTCCTTTCTTTTTTCTTTTTAAAAAAAAAAAAAATAGAAATCCTATGGGCTAATCGAATGGGTTTAGACAGTTGGGTTGGGCCGATACATATTGGGCATGCTGCAGATTAGACTACATAACCCAAAAGATGTTACAGCATCTTTTTGATTTTCAGCCTGAAGGAGACATGGCACATAAACATCCCCAAGAGCATGGTCGAGCAATAATTGTAATGTGAAAACAGTGCTTAAGATTCTGTTTGCGATCGTCTTGTTGCTCTCTAACTCGAGTTCTAGCGGTGAGGAAGCAAATGTGTTATGTACATTATACATAACTCCGTGTGTGTGTGTGTGTATATATACACTTTTTTTTTCTGGTGGGGGGGGGGGGGGATCTAAAAGCAAGAATGCATGCGAGAAGGATGATGTCCTCAAAGAATGATCACACATCTCTTCCCATTTTCCAAAGCATCACATGTTTTACATAAAAAGTCTGGGAATCCCCTGCGGCTATATATCTACATGCATGCGTAGCATCCGCATATCACCCACAATTTATCATGTACAAGTAACAATGACATATATTAATAAAATCTCCAACTGGTGGCGGAGTTAAGTAAAAGTAGACTTCTGATCACCACTCAAACCATAAATTACAACCCATTTGCGTAAACATCACAATCACAAATCAAACGTCTTTCTTCTGCAAGAAGAGTATATAGTGCATACTCCTCTACCTCTCTCTATATATAAACATGAACATGTCCATACGTAAACATATATGGATTACTCGGAGCGTACTCTATCCAATCTGTCCACACTCTTCCTTCCCCTCTCAATCTGAAGATGGTCAACGCTCTTTCCGAGTCTTGTCGTGGCAGTCTACGCTTCTCCTCGACCGATCCAGATGCTCAAACGATATTCTCAGCTTGCTCTTCTTGGGTGGCTTCTCTTTGTCCTTCCTGTCCGTGCTCTGCCTCGGCTTCTCCCTCCTGTCCGCACTCTTCCTGGGCATTTCCAAACCATCCAAGGCGCTGCTGCTCAAACGGCTCCTGTCTCTTGACGAGAATCTCTCCACCGTCGAGATGAACTTCTTCAGGTGCTTTATGTACTCAGGGTAGTGTTCCAGATCACAGTGGTTTCCACCTTTGATCCAAAGCGGCTCGTATTTCTCTTTGCATAGCTCCCACAGTTGTTTCCCATGGGAACAGTCCACAACTTCATCCGAGGTCCCCTGCACATGCACTCATTTATGCTCAAACCACACTAAAAGTTCAATTTTTTTTTTCCATGATCCAAAACCTTGGTGGTTGAGCAGAGCAAGAACACAGTTCTCGGTTATGGATCCAATGGCATGGTAGTTTAGAAGCTACCGGGTTTACTCGGCAATGGTTGAAAATGCAACTGAAACTCGTCAGAGATTTAAAATTAACAGAAAAGGGATAGCATAATCAGTCGAACATATCAGGAATGACCATATCAGTTGGTTGGTTCACCTTACTCTTCCTGTTTTATTTGATTGTGGACATCAATTTGCGGTTGCAATAGATCACTTGTTAACAGTTTGTGTTTCTAAGAGTTAGAAGCAGCCTTGCCGATATACAATTCTATGCGAACTAATACAGGCATCTATGTGATGAGAGAATGCGATTGAACTTACATGGATGATGAGAACCGGGCAATTGACATATGGAATTTTGTCAATATTCTGCCAAAACATCAGCAGAAAGAAAAAAACTTTACACTTATAATGGGAAGAAGACTATTATTAGAAAGAAAGATTGATAAAATAAATATGTTTCTACCTTGTAAATATCGAACCAGTAGGTTTTCTTCACAGGATACATTACTCTTAGACCTGAGAGAATGGGGCTGTGAAGGATGACTGCCCTCAGCTGTGGCAATCGGGAAGCGAGATCCAATGTAGGGCCACTCCCTACGGATTGGCCGTACAGGATAATGTCTTCCTGTTTTGCACCATAGCTTTCTTCAAGACAATTATAAGCAGCTTCAATATCAGCATATGTATTATGTTCACTTGGCTGTGTCATAAGCAAGACAAGATTCCGGGTTTAGTCCTTCACTCTAATGTAACACCATAAAATTATCGTTATCTCTGCTCCCTGAAATAGAAGAACAAACCTTTCCAGTTGATTGTCCATACCCGGAATAATCATACCTGCAATCACATTTAGAGTTGGTCAACCAGTAACACATCTTGTTTCAACACAAGGCAGAAGCATGCAAAAAACTCATGCTTGGTTATTTTTCAGCCATTTTCATTAACGGATTGCTTAATGAAACATTGCAAATGAACGGATCATAGCTGAATATAGCCACACACTTGAAAGTTCATGGCATACTTGGTTTATCCAATGTAAAGGTAGGCTTTGAACTTCAGATGCTTATATGTGGATTATATGAATATGAATGTGCACCAACATGATACGGCATGTTTCAACCCAAACCCAGTTTTGGTTAGTTGTCATTGCAACGCAGCTGAGAGATTAACATCAAAACAGAAACGTGATCTGACATATACCAGCTCAAACAACGGAGACAGAGGCCTAAACAAACAAATTTGAGGATTCGAAAAACCAAAATTTTGGGGCCTGAAACTATTTCATCCAACCTAAACCAAAACTTCATCAGAGAGAAAGCCAAAATAGAATGAACATTAGGTCTTATGAAGCTGATGTTAACGACAAACAGTAGTCTAAACCAAAGGTCTGATTAGAATGAACTCTGAAAGGAAGCATAGCCATGAGAATCATAACCAGAAGTCACAATAGCGTGATCTAACAGAAGAATCAATCATACAGCTAAGAAGAAGAAACCTAGAAGAAAATTCTCCAAATTCATCTTTTCTCATATACACAGACCAAACCAACAGGTGAACGAACTTGATCTGTAGTCGAAGTTACAAGGAAAACGAAAAGGAAACACGATCTGATCAAACCCCATACCAGTTATCACTAAACGGACAGAAAAGGCCAACCTAAAAGCTAATCATCAGAAGGGAAGAAGAAAAGTCTACAACTTTGATGGTACCAAGAACCCAAATCAAACCCAAGAACAAACCGCAAAGCTGACAATCAGAAAACAGTGCGAAAGTTGAAAAAAAAAAAAAGTTGATCATACCCTAATACCAACATCGCCAAAGCGAAAGGAAAAAGCAGCTAATGTTTCCAAGCAGAGACATTTAACAGAAGCCTCAGGAACACAGCAAAAGGAGAGAGGAGAAATGGGAGGAAAAGGGCACGGACCCCATGAGATTAACCCTGAGATGGATGCTCAATTCGATGAAGAGCTCGTACATCTGACCCAGATCGGCCGCGTTTCCATGGGAGTAGAGCAGCGTAGATGTGGCCATGGGGTGTCTGACGTACATAGCCACAATCTCCGTACCTCTGCGTGTCGGAAGCTTTAGGATTTCGACGTTTTCACGGTGGGGAAAGGGGCTCAGCAGCAAAAGTCCAGTGAGTTCGTCGGTCACCAGCTTGTACGATGGCGGGCTCGGCGGGAAAAACGCGAACTTCGCCGCCACCGATGACGTCACCCCACCCATCTCTCTACCGGTCCCTAGACGGACAAAATCCTATGGCTCCGCTGTACAAGATTGAGATTGGAGATTTTGCCTTGGGAAGAGAGGGGGAGAAAGATATGGCGGATTGAGAAGAGACATTGGGAACAATAAGCGCCACTGTGCAAGCTGAAAGGGAAAAGGGGAAGATGAAAAGAGAAAAAAAAAAAGGGTTTTGGACAAATTTATTCTGTTAATTTAATTTAATTAATCCTTTCTAATTATCGGATAAATTTAATGAATGCTTTTTCTTTTTTAATGCCACTGTTAAAAAGGGATATGATAATATTAAAATCGTACTTTTATGATAATTTAAAATGAAATATAAATATATTAAATGAATTTTTCAACGAATGAGTTGCGCTCGTTGATTGTTTCTGTAAAAAGCTCGGATGAAATGATACGATTCAACCTATAATAATTAATCATGCTCCCTATGCTTTTGTGAATGGAATAATGCGTCAAAGTCAAACACACACACACACACATACATTGGGTTGGTGGTGTAGATTTGGGAACCTAGCAGTAATTATTAATTAACAACACACAAGGTGGACGTGGACCCGAGGATATTTGGTTTTATTTTCTTGTTTGGATTAATCAAATAATAGATGGGCGATGTAATTTTATAGTAATTCCTAAAGCGACATGTTTTCATACGGACCACACATGACATGACATGAAGGGCACATCGACATATGCGAAAAGAAAGTGAAATATCAACAACTAACATAAAAGCAATGGAAGCCATTTAAATAAATATATAAAGAGAAGGGGTATGTTGGTTTTGCCTCAAGAAATCTAACAAAGGGAAAAGCCGTCATGGAGTGGTGGACCTTCACTCTCCTCTCTTGTGACAGCTTCCATCCGTTTGGAAACTTTCCAAATTCCAACGTGACACGATGACGGGTGATGCCATGTTATTAAGCCCAATGTATACGCTCCAATCAATGAAAGCATTTTATTGATAAAATTATCACAAAATACACTTCAATAGACATACATGGATAGAAGGACATCGCCTCCACAAAAGCCAAACCATGCATGGCACTGGCAAAACGAATTCAGATTCGGCATTATTTACGTATTCATACGACCCAGAAACACGTATTGTCAAACTGGGAGTTGACTAGAAGTTGTAGTTCTCTTCATCGCGGAGGAGCTTCTCGTCGTGGCAACAGGCGAAGCTGAGGTACTTCTCCATGGGACGGTGGCATTCGAAGCAGTTCATCTTGTCCGGAATGCGACCGCTCCTTGCTGTGATGTGGAAGTCGAAGTGGCTGCATGGCTTCCCTGTGTCCCTCAGTATCACGTCGAAGTAATGATCGTATATCGCTTGCTTGTATCCTTTTGTCGCCACGTCTGTCTTCCATGTACGGTCGTACTCGCTCACTGTCCTGTCTATCGCACCGTGTGCGATCATCACTATCTCCTCGCCTTTGCTCAGCAATGCCCATCCTCCTATCTTGTCGTAGCTCAGTATCTTCTTGATTCCTTGCATCACCTGCATGCGTCATTGTATTTAAGCCATGCCCTTCTCTTTAATTATCTTACACAAATGCATGCATCTGAATGCGGGTTTTGGAAAGCCATGAATCCAGAAGAGTGATGTATAGTCGTTAGTAAATGTAAATGGCAGGATGTATAAGGATGACTTACATCGTCGTGGTCATCGGCCTTTCCGAGTTGAATCTTGGAGTACAACATGCTCTCGAGCCTGGTCCAGAAGAACCACATCATGGCCGGGTCGGTCCAGCTGTAGCTCAGATCTCGTGCCTTGACGGTTTCACTGATCCGCCGGATCTGTTCTCTGTGGCTGTGGTTTCGTTTTCCGACGTAAGCCATCTCCAGTTTGATGTTGGCGTCGGTTGCCGTTGCTCTCGCCGCCTTTGTGAATCTCTCTATCCAGCCCATGTCCTCTCCTCCGTATAAGAATATGTACGTTTCTGGCTTTATCTGATACGCACACAGCGTAGGAACCAAAACACAATCAATGGACTCGATATCGTTAGCTCAAATCTTATCGAGCGAAGACCTTGGGTTTTATGAATTAGTGCGCATGCAGACACCTCAAAACGGAATCTAGGTTTTCTTGTTACCCAATCGAGCGTTTCTGAATCTAGACCAAACCCATCAAACCAAATGAACATGTGTTTCAGAAGTTTCAAACTTCCCAGCTGTTACCGTCAAATCCGGGACGAACCCAGAAAACGCGACCGAGTTTCTGATCGTCGAAACTCAAAAAACAAAGATTAAAACTTTGATTAGCTCGCTTACCCAGCTGAAAATGATAGGATCGATGCCATCGACGACGAGGTTGAGGATCCAAGACTCTCCCCTCCAAAGCTCTTCCTCGCGGGTTCTGGTGAAAGGGAAAGCAGCAGTTCCCCAAATCCACATCATGTGAAGGGCGTTGAGACTGACTTCGTTTCCTTGCGGGTCAAGCACCGCCAGGATCGGCTTGTTCATGAAATGCCATCTCTCTCTCATGAACTTCACCACGTGTCTCTGTATGATCTTTGGGCTGTCCACCGAGAACCTGCGGCCAAATCGAAAAAACGAGTTCGATTATGTATGTCCTGGTTTTACCTATTTAGCAAGCACAAGATGTGGATTGGAGGGGGGGATGTTAACCATGGCATAGTGGAGCGGAGAGCCTCGAATTTCTTCTGGAGGGGGAGAGAGCGGTCGTAGTCATCGATAGGGTCAACAACAGGGATCCAGACAACCTCGTAGGGCATGTGAGTCTTGCCGTCATGTCCCATTAAGTTCTTCCTCGAGTCAGTGTAGATTTGCTCGAAAGTCCTTAACTCATCCTGTGATATGTTCAGGTCTGAGATGAGGAGTAAGACTGTCTTCCTTCTCAGCACATCCAAGTGAACCTGCAAATCAGGGATTACGCATCTTTTTTACAATGCCCCATGTTTAGGTTCTGTTATCTATCTGTGAATCGATTGCAACGCTCCGTGTGATCTGAAGAAAACCTTTTTCTTGGTAATGCCGTCTTGAAGAGGGGAGATGTCATCCTTGGGATAGATCAATGCCTTGAGAACTTTCATGTTGTCTATGTGAGTTGCCTCAAATAGAGCATACAGCTTCTTTAGGGCCTCGGAGCTCCTCTGGCCCTCTGCAAATCAAGAGTATCGGAAAACAGTTATTATAAGCTTTTGGGTTGAAACATGATATGTTATAAGAGACTAACCTATGTAGCGGTGACAGAGCCGCAGTGTTTCAGAGAGATGCTCGTGAATGTTCTTGAGCTTGTTAGCCAACATAGATACTTCCCATGAATCCATCTGAGTGTTCATCATCCTGAAACCAATCATGACAGTGTATTTCCATCAATATCGCACACTAAAGATAGTGAGAAGAGAAAAAAAAACGTACTCATGGCCCATGGCTGTGATCATATTGATCTGAGCAATGCAAGCCACGACACTGCGTATGGTCCAGTAGACAGCAATGGGGATGCTGGCAATGGTTCTTGAGAGCTCAGGCACTTCCGGAGTGATGTAGCGACCGGGCAGCTCGCTGAGTTCCACAACGCATCTGGTGACGTTCTTCATCTCTCGGATGAGGTCATTGAGGGAAGTGGAGACTGACTGGAGGGTGACTCTGTTCTGGACAGGGACAAGCTTGAGCATGGCCAGGGACTTGGCCAGCTGGTTCTTGGAGTAGAACTGGACCAGGAGCCAGAACTCACCGTAGTTCAAGGCGAAAGCAGCGAGGGTCAGGACCAGCTTCCCGTCCCAGTGGAAGCTGGAGAGATGCTCAAACACCGACATTGTTATCTGGTGGGCGTCTGAGCCTGTCAGCGACTTGTAGGCTATCTCACATGCCACACGATCGACTGCATAAGACACGCTGTCAAGAACGCTCATCATATGAGACTGCAGCATCTTGTCCTCTGTGCTCGCCGGAAACCTCTGCACAAAACAAAGGAAAATACATGTATATGTGAATGTGTATACAGAAAGACATGCAGATGGATATCATACAAACACTTACAGAAGCATCGTCAGCGTCAAGAGTGGCGCGGTCGAGAATGTCTTCGACGAGGGAGAGAAGGCCACCCACTTCGAATTCACGGGCATCTGGGGAATGAGTGTGCTGAATGAGCTTCAGCATCACATTCTCATCCCCCGACGTAGTCAATCCCGTGCTGTTTATTTCATGGGAGCCTGTGGCTTTTGCCATTTGGCGAGCTTGTTCGTTCTTGATCAGCGACTCCATTTCTCAATCAACACAAATGCTTCTGGGATTACAATGGAGATATTGTGAGTTCTTTTTGTGTTTGTAGATTGTGTTATCGTCTCAGCGCCTTAAATACAGGTTCAGGCGAGGAGGAATCCACTTCTTTGCTTCAACGGCAATCAAAATTACAGGAATCCGGCAACTCCCTTCAACCTTCTTTATGACCTTTATTCTTGGTTTTGTTCTCGTTTCCGGTTCGTTCCTTTGTATAAGAACGAATGACAATTCACCATAACTCCTAAAAGATCGTCATGGGAAATAGCGATGGATACAGTTACAATGATCCATTCTTTGACTCTGTTCAATTTCTACAAGGATCGTCCAAGATTCCGATTTCTGGTTATACATTACGTATATATATGTACATGATAGATGATGTTGACGCAAGGTTACAAAACTGCATTTAATTTATAAAAAGATATGCCACGTACCAGTAGATATATACAAAGCTAAACAGAGGCAAAAAGTCTAGAGTTCGGTTCAATACCGGAGCATTGTTATGGAATAACAAGACACGACAGGAAACACATTCCTTGCTTGGATTCTCATGTTATTATTATTTTTTCACTTTTGCTTTTGTTTCTTTGTCTCTCAAATTAATTTCAAGAGTGAACTTAACAAAAGGGTGATATTAAATTTGATTCTTTGCCTGCTTTGGGGTAAAACTATGGAATTTAATTTCATCAGATATATATAAAATGGGAAAACAAAAAACAAAAGCGAAATTAGTCCCACATATGCATATATATGTATATATATATATATGTAAATGAAATGTTTCCATTTGTCGAAATGTAATAATAATACATGGCTATGAGGAAAAGGAAATATAAAATGTTTGGTTCTTCTCTGTACCGCACACCTTACGTTGGATCTGTCCTTTGTAAGAGTTTTTAATGGCGGAAACTGCATGCATGCACGAAACACAAACACTATGAATGTTGTTCCATACATAACCTTAAGTATGATCGATCATCTCTTTGTATATATATTTGTCAAAAGCTGGTCTTCTTTTTTTCTCTGTCTTAGACAGGTTCTTACAATCCCACTTATTCCTGTATCGCTTTCCAAGCTAAGAAGAAGTAACTTGTATGGTCTGATTTCTTTATTAATCAATAACCGCCATGCATTTAAAAAAAAAAAACTGTGATATATGATATATATCCATTTGAAAGTTACTGCAAAGCTTATGCCTTTTATACAACTTTATCTGATGTTGTTTTCGAGCTAATTAATATTATGTTATTACAGAAATTATTTCGAGCACTAACTCAAATTAATCAAGAGAGAGGAACTTTCATATGATCTATAAGCGCTTACAACATTTTTTTTTAATTATTTTCGTAATGATGAAACTCATAAACACAAACAACGTCAAGACTCAAAAGGTCTCAGACTGACCCATCACAAATTTATTACAAAGCTTTTTCTTGACATTCATAAACCGGACGGAAACAACATGCATGCCATTATAGTATATTATTATTAACCGGAGAAGAATCACAAGCTGCGGGTCACTCGAGGCAGCACTGGAACAAGTAGAACTTGTCCATGGTCCTGCGACACTCAGTGCACTCGACCGAGTTCGGAATGATTCCAGAAGATTCAGGAAGCATGAACCTGGTGCAGTGATGAGGCGGACGGCGCGCCATGAGGTGATCATAGAGCGCTCTCAGAAAACCCTTGGAAGGAATCTCACCGCTCCACTGGTCAAACTCAGTCAAAGCGATCTCGAACACATTGCCTTTCGCCCTTACCATCAGCTCCGATGCTCTGCTCACCAGCCCCCATCCTCCACCTTCTCCTCCATAACCTAACAGAGATGTTATTTCTTGCAGGACAATGTCTTCTCTCTCTTCTTTTCTGGTGGTTCTCTGTTTCAGCACACGTTGCTTCGATTCCCACATGCTTTCGATTCTGGTCCAGAAAAACCATATCTGGAAGATGTCCACAAGAGTGTGGCTGATCCTCTCCTCCCTGATTCTATCTATTATGGGCTGAAGCCCATTTTTCGGGTTCCTCTTCCCGACGTAAACCATCTCCAGTTGGATGTCTGCGGCCTTTGAAATCCCACGCCATAGATTTGTGAAGTTTCTGATCCATTGCATGTCTTCTCCTCCATAGAGGCATATGAATTTTCCTTCCGCCATCTGACACGGACAAGAAAACAAATATGATCTTTTTTAGTTTGCCTGACACATAAACAAACGGTAACCAAAACTAGAATCTTAAAGAATTAAAAAGCGTTAAAATTACGAACCTGAGTTAAGGAGTGAGGATCAGTGCCGTCGATCAAGAACTCGAGGTTCCATTCTTGCTCAGCCCAGAGATCACGTTCCCTCGAGTTGGTGAAGGGATGGGCAAAGGTCTGCCAAATCCAGATCATGGGGAAAGCGTTTGTCGACACTACTTGCCCTTTTGGGTCGAGTGCTACGAGGATCGGTTTGGTCTTAAAGCCCCACCACTCCTTAATGAACCTCAAGCTGGCTGCACTTAACATCCAAGGCTCTCCGAGAACGTACCATTTCATGCCGGAATGAAGCGTCTCGTACTTGGTTTTGTCAGACTCTGTCCAGTGATCTTGAATTGGGACCCATAGAATCTCGAAGGATTGCTGCCACGCATCATTGTAGAGCTGTTCAAGAATATACATCTCTCTTTCGAGGTTTTCAAGGTCTGATATCAGAAGCAACACGTTCTTCTGGGACAAGGCATCGATTCCTACCTGATTAATGTTGAACCAAGAAAAAAAAAAAAGAAAATAAAGTTACCATGTCTTTCTTGTTTTCTTGATTTTCAAGAGTTGACTGGTGTTGTATTGGTTGCTTAACCAACGTGAGTTGAATTAACTAACTTGTTTTGATCTTAAACAAAAACGTTTGTCTGAAAAATAAAAATGAAAAACTGGTGCTAAAGCTCATGTTATTTTTTTACCCGTCTCTTCGAATGGCCGCTTCCGTGGTAAAGAAAATCGATTGATCTGAAAAGACGAAGCAGGGGCAGGACAATATCGATGTGAATCATTGTGGTGAATATCCGAATGAGTTCTTGATATTCGTCTTCGGTCTTTTTTTCCTCTGTAACCAAGCGGGAGAAGCTGTGATCAGAGAGTATACCTCGGACAGAGAAAGTGGGTGGAGTTTAGTGGTGAGCAAAGCTTACTGATACTGTCGAGAGATTTGTTCAGTTGTTCAGTCAGGTAGGCATTGATCTTTCTGAGCCGTTCGCTGTTCTCATGTACCTCAGAGACTTCCATAAACGACATGACTTGGCTGAAACACATGCAAGAAAACCGAATATACTTCCATAAAACACTCCTTCTTGAAGACAAAGTTGTTTTTCTTTTAGATAGTTGTAGATGATCCAAATACCAATGGAGAAATCAAGAATTGAGGTTTATGCTTCCGTGTGTTTTTCAAACTCTCTTTGTCCACTCTTTGAAAAAAAAAACAGAAACTAAAAATGAAGACAAATAACGAACACTTACTCCTGTCTGAAGCCGCTGACGCAGCTGATCTGAGAAGTGCAGAGCAGAACACTGCGAACAATCCAGTAAACAGCGATGGGAACGTGGCCAGTGAATGCCTCTGTGATGTAATGAGGTGGGAGCTCGTAAATCTTAATGATAGTAGTGGTCAGATCAACCATGTCCTGCATCAGCACTCGGGATTTCTCAAGACGCTTGTTAAAAGATGTCTCTTGCGAGGAAATGCCTGGGATCTGCTTTATCATTGCCAGTGATTTTGTGAGCTGATTGGTGGCATACGTTTCAGCCAGCAGCAGGAAAACACCGTATTTCACGGCCAAGGCCGCTAGGACGAGGACTGCTTTTGCGTCCCAACGGTACTTGGAGATGAGAGACAGAACTGAGAATGCGGCTGTGTGACGGCTGTCCAGATGAAACCCTGAGGACATCAGGCCCTGAGACTCGCCCCCATGCATGCACTTGCATTCGATCTACCAGAGATACACGAGAGACATAAATCTTAGTGACTTGTATACACATGGGAAAGTAACTAAAAGCACTGCGCTATGATAAAACCTCGCAGGAAATCTGATCGATGAGCTCTGCAAATGCTTCAAAGGAGGTGTAATCAGCATAATCCTTGAACACGAGCGGCGCCTGCAAAATTGTAATAAGTTTCGATGGAAATCACTCATTATTGCTCTGATTACAGAATATCTAAAAGTTTCTTGGAATGGAAGAAAGCGTGTCTAATGACTACAACCTTGGAAGGAGAGCGGTCGAGGGATGGGACATGAGACTTGAAGATGTCATGGACGATGGAGAGAAGGGAAATGACATCGAAGGAGAGCATGTCGGGGCTATGAGTCTTGGACACTTTTTCCAACATCACCCTGTCATCAGAAAGTGCAAACATCGGCCTTCCTCCTCTCTGAAAAGGCGCCTTCTTTCCCAATCCCAGTCTTTGACCCAATGGCTTTGGGAATATCAAGGATTGCTTGGGGAGACCATCCTCTGACTCATGAGGCCGTACGCTCTTTGGCACCACATCACTCAGCTTCTCAATCTCATGAGAAGGCGGTTTTGGAGCAAGGTGATGGCCCTCTTCCTCACCAAAGGGTTTTTCTTCTCCGGTTCTTGGGGCTAAGGGACGTCTCTCTCCTACATTTTCGGGGACCTTATGCTCAGGAACTCTTGGGATAAGAGAGACCCTTTTGAGAGGATCGTCAGAGGCACCGCCAAGGGGTTTTGGGACCAATGGGAAGTTTTGGGCCATAATTGAAAGAGATGGAGAAATGTAGAGGCTGAAGAAGCAAAGAAAGAAAGCAAGAGAGATGGAGATGATGGGGCTGGGGAGTTGCGTTTATATATAAGTTGGAGGGTACAGAATAAAGGCGTGAGGGGACCTTTGAATCAACTTCTTTGCTTCTTCTTTGGTTTTATCAAAATGAGCGTTGTGACCATCACACTTGTTAGCCATTTGATTCCATTAACCAAATCTTTACATTTTACACAAATCTATTTCATGTTTATATTCCTTAAGGATCAAAGCTAAGTTTTATTGTCTTTTACTTACCATTTTTTTTCCTTTTGTAATAATTGTTATTTCAGGTACTTGTGCATATATAGATATATAGTGCCTAAAAAAAAAGATTGCACTTGTGGCCATCCTTGTGTTCCTCGTTGCATGGGGCCTGAGGCTACCTTACTTGGGTGGGTGACCATTGAACAAGAACAGGAAGAATCACAATTAAAGTGAAAAAAAAAGGAAGGCGGTCCCAAAGAAATGATATTTACTTCTTGTCGAGGCCACTAACCCCACAAGAAAAAGCAAAACCTATATATATATATATATATATATATATCCTATATGTCACCGCTATTCAGCAAAACAGCAAACTTGTCGATTGCATCGAACTAGTGGTATAAAGGTTTGAAGCTCTTATAAGCAACAAGGGCATAGAAGGGGTCGGGTCCAGAAGAAAGACCAAGAAACCCGAGGAGCCGATCAAGAACAGACGTCTGGTCTCCGCCTCGGACGACCTCAGGCTGAGTGAAGCCTTCAACGCACTGAAAGTACTGAACCACCAACTGGACGCGGCTGTAGCCGCTCCCTTCCCTCCATTCCCTTACGGCCTTTTCATAAAACATCCTGTTGCTAAAACTCACTATGAACACTCCTCCCGCTTTCATTACTCTGTTCGCTTCCGCAAACACCTGCCACTTTCCTCCGTTTATTCAGGACCTCCTCATTTACAAAAACATTAATCAACCGAATCGGTTTACCTTTTCGGGTTCTTGGAGGTACTGGACGCCGACAGAACACAAAACCGAATCAAAGGTCTGGTCGTCGAACTCGAACCTCTGGTCTTCGTTAAGATCCTTGACGAAGAAGTAATCCAGTCTAGGGTTCCTAGCGAGCTCTTGTGCATTAAGACCATGACCCACCACTTTCTCGTACTTAACCTCTTCCGGTAAATGGCTTACCCATGAGCTCATCAGGTCTAGTACGACCGAACCGGGCCTTATCCGCTCTCTGTACAAATCGGTTAAGGCGGATATGAACCGGTCGTCCACGTGGTTCACGAAACGCGGGTAGGAATAGAAATCACGGTCAGGATCGAGGTTCAGTTTTGTACGGCCTTCGTTGCTGAGTACCAGCCGTTTGATCTTACCGGCCGAGGAGGATGGTCCCGGTTCGGTTTCATAGGGTCTGTTTGATGCGCTCGAATGTCTCGGTTTCAGAATTTTGGGTTTGGATTGAACTGGAGACGCCTGTAGGTTGAATCCAAGGGAATGCATCTACGCCTTTTCTTTTCCAAAAAAAAAAAAACCTTTGAAACTTTCTGAGAGAGGAGCGACCTTATACTTGGTATGTTTTTGGATGGAATACGAGTGGTGGTGATGATACTTGGAATTCTCTTGGGTTCGGATGGAATGCTAATGGGCTGATATTGGGCCTTTTATGAAATTAAAGAAGCCATTCACGAGAAACGAAGAAGATTGACTTGTATGATTTAATTTCTTCCTCACTTTGCCCCTTTGCCATAATCTCATAAAAGGCATACTTCTGGTGAAATGTAAATCAACACCAATATTCATAGTATATAAACACTTTTTTTAAAATATCAGGCAGAACAGTACATTCTGACCTTTAGGAAAAAAAAGAGAAAAACATAAAACAATCAATCACGAGAGGATTAGGATTACATGTAAGCCGGAGGGAGAGAGAAGGCATTGCTGCTTTGCAATGATGGGTCAAAGGCATACTTGAGACAAGTAGGATTAACTTGCATGAAAAGGTAATTGCCAGCGAAGAGATCGCCGAAATGGGCCTGGCTCTCCTTCAGCCTCTTCAACACTTTGGAAATACCTGTTCTGACCCCCTTGGCCTTCTTCCTCAAGAACCTCCTCAGTTTATGAACCCTAACCCTGATCCTCCTCCTCCTCCTCCTGAGTCTGTTGAACCTGTAAGGATACTGTCTTCTGAAGCTTGGCTGAAGGAGATGGATTTCATCCAAGCTACCTTCGTGGGTGAGCCTCTGGTAAGGGAGACTGATGGATGAGGCCATTTCCTATGCAGGAGGAGGTTCTCGGTTTCAGAGGAATAAAGAGAGATGCTATCATGTGAGGGAGGGATGGTGAGTAAGCAGTTGGGTGTTGAATTTAATGCAAACCTCACTTTCTGTTACACCTTAGATGTGGTTTAATGGCTTTTGCCACCCGTGGTCATTTAAAGCCCAATTCAACCAGAAACCATACAGGACAAAAGAGAAAAAAAAAACGTGGACTTCGGCCTTAACAACTGACGACGTGGACCCACCATCACATCTTAGATAAGCATTCCATTAAAAAAAAAAAACTAACGGAGAAGAGTTATTACAATACATCATCATCACGACTCCCAGCAGAAGGAAAGAACAAACGAATCTTTTTCTTTTGTACAGAAAGACGAGATTGATCCCACAAAGAAAAAGGGGTCAGTAGAGCTTTATCCTGGTGTGGATGGGGGCGCGGCAAATGGGGCATACTTGGAGATCAGGTGCACACTCGCAACACGTCTGTTTGATATTCATCACCACACGAAACAACAACAACAACAACAACAACAACTTGTATTGATGTCTGTCTGAAAAGATTACAGTAGAGGAAGTGAAGAAGAAAGGGTGTTTACCTGATGGCCGCAACCAAAGGCCATGTCCTTGGGATTGCTCAGACATATCGGACACATCTGTTACATATCAAATACCCAAAAACCGGTTAGGACCCTTTCCCTGATTGATGAAAAAGCACTTCTGTCCGAGTACCTGGTTATCGTATGAGGAGCTTGGGGCCGGCGGGGCACTACTAACGGGCTTGCTTTCTCTCGTATAAGAAGGAACACTCGCTTTGAAACTGGGCATGTGGAAAGGTTTTGCTGCATCCATCGGAGGTGGTAGCGGAATTCTCTCGGGTATACTCCCATTTCTCCGCCTGCATAAACAATATTAGCATTCACCACCAAATGGCATGCCCAATGCAAATCATGCCAAGCTTATGTTGGAATTACCCTAATATGTTCAGCTCTATTGTCGCCTTATACTGTGAGGGAATCTCCATTAGAGCATCAAGTGCAAACTTTGTCTCCTTCCGGGACTGCTCTCTGTTCTTCGACATTATTTCCGTGAAATTCACAAACTAGAAAGAAAGAGACAACAGATTAAAAGGTTGCTCAGATATTAATACCAAAATAAACTAAGAAAAAGAAACTTTGATGAACTGAGCCCAACCAAAAAAATTTTAAAAATGAAGAGAAAGAACACTCACTTGGAAGTTATCGAATGCTCGAGCGGGGATGTTATCATCAAATTCCTTCATCATGTCCCATGGTCCATCACCAACCCCGACCAAGACAATTGACAGAGGAAGCTTACTGTGGCAGACCATGAAATCTCTCAGATCTCAGAAAACAGCCAAACTGGTAAAAGGTTTGCAAAAAACACCCACCTTGCTTGAACGATGGCCTCAACTGTCTTCTGTTCCTGTGGACTTAACTGTCCACGTTCAGTGTCAACGCTTCTTGTAACCTGAAATGACCAATTGCCTTTGCATAGTTTCTTGGGGACAAAGGTGAAATATCATCAAGCTACATGTGGAAATAACATGTAATCTCTACCTGCCCATCAGCTATTATCACTAAGACATGGTACTGGCCACCACTCTGCTCAACTATGGTCATTGCCATTTCAATGATCGGGGCAAACGAGGTTGGCCCTGAAATACAAAGTTTGCAAAAAGATAGTCACCACTTGATGAGGAAATTGTGGAATCCAAAAGGAGGTCAAAGAAGGAAAACCAACCTGCAAGCTTAAGTTGAGGAACGATTTCCCTGTACCGAGCCAACACTTCTTCAAATCCGTTACAGAATCTACCTTCTGGATAGAAACTAAACACATCTTGATCATGAGTTGATGCTGCAGAGACAAAAGTGGAGCTGGTTGATACACAGACTTCTGGGATACATAACAAGAAAATAAACGGCAGATGGGGAGTGAATACCATCTCCAAAACCATAGCATGGGATGAGGTTATCCTCGTCAAAGGCAGCTAATGTTTTTCCGATGATGGTGATTGCTTGTTCGTACGGATTTTGACCATTGCCTATAAAATGCAAGCTTTTCCTGTTGAAGGATTTGGCTCCTGTTCAAAAATACAGAAGCAAAGGCATTCAGCATCTCTCGTCAGGTATCATGGCGTTTAACTGCAGCAACCCACCTGTCCACTCATTGCTCTTGGTGAAATCGAATCCAACAATCAAATTGGAAGATTCAAGACCTGCACGTGCAAGGGCCTCTGTCACCTGTAGACACAGGCAGAGCATTCCTCCTTTAGTGATTGTAACAAGCCGGTTACAAAACGAGAAATCCAGCGATGGATGAGGCTCACCTGATCTAAAGAAGAGTAATTATCAGCTATCCTTGAATACTTCCGCTCCAGCTTCTTCCTATCATTGCCATGACTTTGGGAAGGTGGAGGATATGGCTGTGGAGGATAGCCCTCCTGACTATATGGCGCTTGAGGATAACCGTAGTTGGATGCGTAGGCTTGTTGGGGTGGATAGCTGTAGCTTTCTTGACGACCATATTGCGGAGGAGGATAGCCTTGTTCAGAATTATGTGACGTTGAAGCTGAACGGAAGGACGACGGTGAATCCTGCGTCCAGTTCTCCTTCGAATCCCCTGCCCCCATCAATTTCACCAAAACCCTAGTTCAATCGAACCTTTACAGTCAAATCAACACCTGCAAAGGACTCAGAAAGAATTGGCATTCAGCACAGAGAGATTCCCACCGGAAAAGACGAAACATTTGTAGAAATTACCAATGCGCTTCATATTTAGAGGTGTTAGGAGATGATTGGCATTTAGAAAATGAAATCACAAGAACAGCAAGTTTTCCACCAAAAAAAAAAAGGAAATTTGCTATGCAGATATAGAAAATAGGGTTTTACATGCCATAGATTCAACCTAAAACACATATGGATAAACATACCCAAAGCAAAGATTCAAACCTTTTCTCTTCTGAGGTTTCAATCAGAACCCAAAAAATATTTCCTTCAAAACGAGTCAGGAGACCTAACAGCAGGCAATTATAGCCTCAAAGGTGAAAACTTTCCTGGAAAGTTATTGAATTTTCTCGCTAACCAAACGGCTTTGAACCTAAAGGTAGGCGGCGCTTGGTCTTTGAAAGAAGATGAAGATTCAACCACGTAACCGTCACCGACTCAGAAAACGCGATAAGAGGAAATCAGAAAATTTTTAAGTTCTAGATTAAGAAAAAGACAATTTCAGAAACCCATCGCCATACTCTAATCCATTTAAACCCAGAATTAGTAAACAAGTTGAGAGAAAAAAACAACTCGACCAATCGACACTTTCCACGCAAATTTTCCATCGAGATCCAAAAAGAAAGACGAAGATTTTGTCAACTCTTTCCAACAACATTAGCCGGAAAGTTTAGGAAGAACAGACCGTCTTTCTCCGGCAAAAAAAAAAAACCCTACCTTAACGATGATGAAGAAAAGAAGGATAGGCCAAAGAAAATCTCGCCAGTTAAGGACCTTCAATGGCGTATCAAATCGGAATGCCG